TTATTCAGTATAGGCTTTTCTAAAAACATGAAATCATACATATTGAATGCAAAACTTGGAAAAAGCCATTATAAGTTAATCACCATACATCAAAGACAATATTTGATAGATCTGTTGCAGCATTTAGTGGAAGCGTACCTGTATTTAAATAAAGGAGATGATGCACCAAAACCCTTGAAATATGTCTTTATTACCCACATGCAAAATATAATGCTTTATGTCCTATTCATTATACAAATTTCCCTTATTTCAGGGCTCATTACACAATATAATTTCAAAGAAAATAAAATGGTTTATCTTATCTTAGGTCTTAGAACATGATAAAACTTTTAAGGAGTATGCAATGAGCAGTGTGAAATAATTCTAGGAATGTAAATAAATTACGTCTCTGAATTAATGAAATTGAACCTCCACAAACTATAATTTATTGTGAATATTAATCCTGCAGTGATTTTTCTCAAATTACTGGACTAATAGTGGTATTCTTTGACTTCAATGGAGAAATGCTATTAAATTAATGACAAGGTTTCAGAAAAACAAGCAAAAACTAAGAAAAGTACAAAAAACACCTGCTTTAAAGCCAATCTTTCATAATGAATACTCCTACACTGTTAAAGTGCAGTAAAAGTACACACATTAATTATTACATAATAATTCAGTATATAAAGTCTATAAATGTAATTATAAGGAAAAAATAACTATATTTTCATGCAAAACATGATTAATATCATGTTTGAAAGATATGATAAGATATTATAAGCTTATCACAAACATGAAAAATTCAACATTAATAGTGCTGTACTGCAAAATAATGCTTTGTATCAAGGAGAAATTTGCACTAGTCTGTCACTTTGATCAAGTAAAAGAAGGCTTTAAGTTATGTTCATACCTATGCACACCTGATTAATGGGAGTTACTCAGTTACAAATCTGTACTAATGGTACTTCTTTTAGATTCTCTTTAACTGTTTAAACCAATCAATTCTTGCTGTTTCTAACAACATCATAAATACAGCCTGTATGAATAATGCATCATTTGCAGAGGGATTAATTGAACATTCTTTTTTATTTTTGGTTGGGTTTTACATTACACCAATACAGTATACCATAGGTCATTTGGTGACTTTCTAGCTTTACTGGTGGGGAAAGACTCAATGTACAAACAGGCACCTAAGTAGAACCACAGAAGTTTCATAAGCTAGCTGGACAGCTTCCTCACATGAAAGAATCCAAAGTTCCTGTTTCCCTGTTTGGTGTGCTCTACACTAGCAAGTACTTTCCCCATCACTAATCCACTGTGCAGCCTGTCCATAGATTTTATCAAAGTATCAAAGATGTCTTTTAAAATACCTTGTGTATGATTTACATTTACCCAGCATGCCTATCTGTTCCTGTTATCTTAAATAATGTTATAATCTTACAATATATTAACATACCAACATTATTTCTGATGATAAATCAAAGTTCAAAGGTAATAAAAATTACACCTTCATTGATTAAGAACATAAAAAAAACATATTTTTGCAATAAATAACACCTGAAATAGCAGCAGGTTAACTCTGTAAAGCAATAAAACAAAATTTGAGAACTCTCTTTGTTTATATATAATGAAATAACATACATATAGAAGAAGCATGTACACCTCTATAACAAAAATAAAAGATATATGAGAGGGCATAATAAAATCTGGAGAAATAAAATTTAAATGAAGTGTATAGTGAAGATTTCATGACTTAATGCTAGATGACACATGTTATAATACTTTTATTTGCTCATTTTTCTTATTGCAAGAAAAATAATTATTTAATTATCAGAATTCACACACATCTTTTTATTGCGACAGAATTATTATATTACTGAATAACAGTGCTCATTTTCTTATTGCAACACAATTTTCAGATTATTGAATTGCACAGCATATTTTCTTATTGCAACAGAACTGTTGAAATATATGGCTCATTAAATTTATCTAACTGCAACCAAATTAAGTTAAGATTTTTTTAAAATTTGGCAAAAAATAGAAGCTTGTCATGTATGTAATTGGCATAGTGTTCACACTGAAAATGCTCTGCATGGAAATATATCTGTGTATTTTTAAAGCAGTTGCTGTTACTCTAATGTAAGCAAAATGTTTCATACAAGCAATATCAGCATATATAATTATACCATTATCTAGTCAAACAAGTGCACTGCTAGGCGGAGCATGATATGCCCGAAAGTACTTTTTCTTTTATTGAGGAAGACATGGGAATTAAATACAGTATTACCTCCTTCAAAAAGCAATCCTCCTTTATAGCTGCAGAACATTCATGTATATATACAGTTGCAGTTTTCAAAGCACCACCATCAAGTTGTTATCTTGTAAGTAAAAATGCTACAATGGATGGACACCAAGACTTCAGGGGTATAAAGCTGTTAATCCTATAAAATTTTACAGCTGTAGTTCGATAAATACTTGAGTTAGTGGGCCAAAATTGTTTCCAGTTTAAAGGTGATAGTAATCCCTTGATCTTTGACCTTGTGACCCCAAAATCAATAGCGGTCTTCTACCCAATATGAACAATCATCCTATTAAGTTTGAATATTGTGGGCCAAATGGAACTTAAGTTATGCTCCAGAAACCATTTTCAGTATTAAGCTTAACCTTTGACCTTGTGACCCCAAAATCAATAGGGGTCTTCTACCCAATATGGACAATCATCCTATGAAGTTTGAATACTGTGGGTCAAATGGAACTAAAGTTATGCTTCGGAAACCATTTTCAGTATTTAACTAATAGTGACCTTGATCTTTAACCTTATGACCCTAAAATCAATAGGGATCTTCTACCCAATATGGACAATCGTCCTATGAAGTTTGAATACTGTGGGCCAAATAGACCTTAAGTTATGCTCTGGAAACCATTTTCAGTATTAAGCTAATAGTGACCTTGACCTTGTGACCCCTAAATCAATAGTGGTCTTTTACCCAATATGGACAATCATCCTATGAAGTTTGAATACTGTGGGCCAAATGGAACTTAAGTTATGCTCCGGAAAACATTTTCAGTATTAAGCTAATAGTGACCTTGACTTTTGACCTTGTGACCCCTAAATCAATAGTGGTCTTTTACCCAATATGGACAATCATCCTATGAAGTTTGAATACTGTGGACCAAATGGAACTTAAGTTATGCTATGGAAACCATTTTCAGTATTAAGCTAATAGTGACCTTGACCTTTAACCTTGTCACCCAAAAATCAATAGGGGTCTTCTACCCAATATGGGCAATCATCATATGAAGTTTGAATACTGTGGGCCAAATGGAACTTAAGTTATGCTATGGAAACCAAATTGCTAACGGAGGGACGGACGGCCATACCAAAATTTGATGTTTATGAGACAAATGAGCTCATAAACACCACCTTGACCAACGTCCATAAGCAAAAAAAGCTCATAACTAGAAATGTGTCCATAGGACACAGGTGCCCCCACCGCGCCACTGTTCTGTCAATCTTTTTACTAAGTCAAGGGAAATAACTCTACAAATACTGGATAAATCCACAAGCGAAACCCCAGGTGCAACTCTAAATATGCTGAGCAACCTGCCCATAAGGTTTAATGACTATGTCAAATCCTTTTTGAGTAACTTGCGACACAAGTTGAAAATTGCAAAAATTTTCTAAGTGAAGGGCAATAACTCTAAAAAATACTAAATAAATCCAGACAAAAATACCTGGTGCACAACTGCACATGCTGATCAATATTCCTGTAAAGTTACATGACTCTAGGTCAGATACTTTTTGAGTTACGTGCGACACATGTTGAAAATTGCAAGATTTTACTAAGTCAAGGGCAATAACTCCAAAAATACTAAAAATATCCACACGAAAATACCCAGGTGCACAACTACATATGCTGATCAACATTCCTGTAAAGTTTCATGACTCTAGGTCAAATACTTTTTGAGTTACGTGCGACACAAGTTGAAAATTGCAAAATTTTACTAAGTCAAGGGCAATAACTCCAAAAATACTAAATATATCCACACGAAAATACCCAGGTGCACAACTACACATGCTTATCAACATTCCTGTAAAGTTTCATGACTCTAGGTCAAATACTTTTTGAGTTACATGCGACACAAGTTGAAAATTGCAAAATTTTACTTAGTCAAGGGCAATAACTCTGAAAATACTAAAAATATCCAAACGAAAATACCCAGGTGCACAACTACACATGCTTATCAACATTCCTGTAAAGTTTCATGACTCTAGGTCAAATACTTTTTGAGTTACAAGCGACACAAGTTGAAAATTGCAAAATTTTACTAAGTCAAGGGCAATAACTCTGAAAATACTAAAAATATCCAAACGAAAATACCCAGGTGCACAACAACACATGCTGATCAACATTCCTGTAAAATTTCATGACTCTAGGTCAAATACTTTTTGAGTTACATGCGACACAAAAGTGAACGGACAGACGGACGGAAGGACGGACGGAAGGACGGACAGACGGACGGAAGGACGGACGGACAACGGTAAATCTAAATGCCCGCCACTAACGTGGGGGCACAAAAACAAAAGAATAGCTCTTAATTTGAATTTTATGAGTTTATGTTTTTCATTTAACTTCGGAATGAAGCTCATAATAATCAAATGTTGGCTTGGATGGACGGACAAACGGACAGACGGACGCCAGGGGGTATAACATAATATGCCCAAATTCTTTCGGGCATATAAAAAATAATATAATCCAAGACTTAAAAAGAAGACATGAAAACTTATAAATATTTCATCTCCTGACAGAAGTCCATCTGTAATAAATTCAAGGAAAAAAACCCAACAGTACCTACATAAGCAACCCTTTACCAGCCAATGTAATTATAATAAATATAACTGCAATCAAGACATATTAATAAAACACACACTGAAGGCTTGGTGCAGCAATAAAATGAAGATACAATCAACTGACTAGCATCAAGCCTTCAAATAATTATGTGCAATTCACACTCCATACCTTTTTGTCTATATCTTCCAATTAACGAACCTTCAAAAACAGTTAAACTAATAAATACCATGCTTCTTATTTATTCTAGAGGACAAAAAAAGTAATAAACATGTATCTATGTACAAGCAACTAAGTGGTTCAAAATTATTGCGTAACAATATAACATTAGGAAAGCAGGAAAACATGGCAATGATAAATGCTCCCTGGTATTTTTAACAAATCTGAAAACATGGTGAAAAGTATGAAAATCTATTTTTAGAATCAGTGACCTTGACCAAACAACCTAAAATACCATCTGTAAGTAGACGTTCACATATTAAATACCTAAAATATCAATGAATAAAATAATGAAGATCCTCTGAAAATTAGTAAAATAAGTATGACAGTATGATAAACCAATCATTTTGTTTTATTTAAACAAATTTTGGGGAGCATGTAAAATCTTTGGAAATACTTGTTCTAAGAATGAAAGTAGTATGAGGTGACACAATAGCATTAACCCATCAACTATGTCAATATTGCATTGTATAAGTTAAGAGAAGATGTTTCAATATACAATTGTTCAGTTATGTATACCAAAAGCAAATATGATTTTAATAAATTGTATATCAAAGTTCAATCACATGAGAATAAAATACAAGATTTAGGAAAATATTTATTCTTAATTAAACACTTTGGAAAAAAAACTAGAAGAAAGTAAAATACAAGTAGAGGAGATGAAAATATGCCCATCAGAAAATTTCAATGCATTGTACATGTTATTATATGGTATAATATGGCACATATTAGTAAGTTACTTATTACACGGTGTAGTTATATAATTATATCAGTATTAAAAGGACTCAACTGAGGTTTTAGACATAACAAGGTTTATAAAAAAAAAATTTTTTGAAATTTGTTTTCCATTTGACATAATTATGTCTGGACCAATTAATTATATGTTTGAAAATTTTCAGAACATTCCCTCATCATGTTTTTCCAGAAATGTGCAAAATGACCCCCAAAAAAAACTAGAAATGTGTCATCATGCCACGGATGCCCCCGCATGCAGCCAAAATTTCAGATGGTGCATTAATTTTTTTTTTTCATTTTAAGTTCAAAGCCCTTAAAACTTTTCAATGTTAACACAAACCATTTTCATACAATGTTCAAGGCACTGAAATTATTCAGTCTTAACCTTTTAAAAATAGCATATTGCATATTTGTAGCCAAAATAATGGCTAAAAGTATGAGTGCTGAAACTGAAAGTTCAAAAATTTTCCAACATTCAGGAAAGATAAGTTTGTCTAAAATCATTGAACCACAACCAAATTCAAACTTAAACTGCTTATTCCTAAGATGTATCTATATTATTTTCAAAGTGATAGGGACATAACTCTGCCAAAAAATCATCCAACCATGACCAAATTCCAACTTGACCTGCATTTTCTCATGACATATCCATATGTCAAGTTTGAGTTGAATGTGTTGTACCGTTGGGGAGATAATGAACGGAAACTGAAATTTCATATTATTTTCAAATTAAAAGGGGCATTACTCTGCCAAAAATCATCAAACCATGACCAAATTCGAACTTGGCCTGGGTATTCCAAAAACATAACCATATGTCAAATTTGAGTTGAATGTGTAGTACCATTGGGGAGATAATAAACGGAATCTGAAAATTTCATATTACTTTCAAAGTTAAAGGGGCATAACTCTGCCAAAAATCATTGAACCATGACCAAATTTGATCTTGACCTGCGCATTCCTTTGACGCATCCATATGTCAAGTTTGAGTTGAATGTGTTGTACCGTTGGGGAGATAATGAACGGAAACTGAAAATTTCATATAATTTTCAAAGTAAAAGGGACATAACTCTGCCAAAAATCATCGAACCATAACCAAATTCGAAGTTGACCTGTATTTTCTCATGACATATCCATATGTAAAGTTTAAGTTGAATGTGTTGTACCGTTAGGGAGATAATGAACGGAAACTGAAATTTCATATTATTTTCAAAGTAAAAGGGGCATAACTCTGCCAAAAATCATCAAACCATGACCAAATTCAAACTTGACCTGTATTTTCTCATGACATATCCATATGTCAAATTTGAGTTGAATGTGTGCAACTGGTCTTAAGATAATGAACGGAAACTGATGATGACGAAATGACAGAATGACAGAAGGACGGAATGACGGAACAGGGTAACACTATATGCCCCGGCCATTACATGGCGGGGGCATAAAAACAACGCTGCAACACTTTACACTCAAATTGCGCTAAGAATCAGCACAAAAAAAAAAAAATTTAATTCTGAGTATTTTCTTTATTAATCCTTTGAAGATTTATCTCATTTATCTCCATTTGAACTGCTTCACTTGATCTATGTAAGAATTTCAAATTTTCTGGGGTTTTTTTTTGGCTAATTGACCTCAGTTGATCTCCTTTAAACTATCTTGCAATTTAGATGAATTAACACTTGTTTAAATATCAAAAAAATAACATTAAACCCTTTGAAAACTAATGAAGGCTTTCAAAAAATTGGCAATTTGATTGGTCGAAGGGGAGTCGTGTACTGGGAATTGTATGTCTATTTTGGTCCCATTATTTTAAATTTGAACTTGTCAATCAAATTTTGATATCATTTCAATCTAACAAGCCCATATTCCTATACCCAAATAAAAATCAATCAAATTAGTCAATTTATGGTAAACAGTACAAAGATGTCAAATTGAAAAAACACTTTCATAGGAATGTTCTAACTGACTTGACTCAATCAATTTTGTTTACAAGCAATCAAATTAGCAAAATAAAGACGTATTTATAATGCTCTAGATGGGGACAGGTTTGTGACACTATGAACAAGCTTATAATAATTCTGTGCTTTATCAATATGAGTATGTAATTTATTTTTTCATTTTTTTATTCATTTGTTTTGGGGGGGAGAAGGACAAATGAGCATTATAATGAAGTTAGTGTTTTACTGGGGCATGGAATAATGCAGTAGCATGAATTTGAAAATTTTACCAATAATGCAGTGGCATAAATTAGAAAATTTTACCAATAACCTTGAAGTTACGTTACCTACATGTTCACTTGAGTAACAGATAATGAAACTAAATTATAACTCATCATGTGTCATTTTTTTTTTATTCACACAGTCTGGATTATCTTGTGACTTACTCCGATGTTACATTAAAATTATACACATAGGGACTGTATCATTATTAGAAACAAGTTTGACTAACCTCGGACATCTAGGTAGACTTGACTTGTGAATTTCCTGCTGTTTGATTGACTCAGTGGTACTAATAATGTACATGTATATTGCCCACGGTCACTTTCAACCACTGGTCTTATCTCTAATGAAGTGTCATCAAGAATTTGGACACGCCCATCAAAGCTAGGGTTTATTTCTGGCTTGTCTGTTTTGAAGGATTCCCATTTCCATCTACAATTTTTTTTTCAAACAAGATTTTCACAAGTCATTCAAACAAAAATATACATAAAAGTCTTTATCTAGAATATTAAAACAAAGAGAAGACATTAGATGCTTCAAGTACAATTTTGAGTGATTCTGAAGTCCTTTAAAGAATTTGATTTGTACAAATCTTTACTTTTAAGTTGATTGTGTAGGAAGCTATAAGCTTATTGAAACACTCTCAATCAGTTCCTTAAACAAACCAGTACTAAGCAATGAGTTTGAAATTTCTTGCTCAAGGAAACAATGATTTGCCAATGACGTGGCTTGAACCCACATGGCTAGCCATCATCAAATTACTAGTCCAACACATTAACCACTCGGTCATGGCACCACTAAGAAATGTTTTCAGACTGGGTACATAATTATGTAAATTAAATATATTTTGAACCTATATAATAAAGCAGTACAAATCATGTCAAAAAGAATTTTGATATGCCTTGAGCTGTTGTATTGAAATTTCATTAAGAAATGTTCATCCATTTGAAGAGATAATACATAGCAGCAATAAGTGGCTAGAATTTCTACTGTCTGCATTTAAACAGAAACTTTGATATTGTGTGTGATACATGTTTTATTTCACCACTGATAACCCCATAAGCCTGGCAACTAACTCCATAAGCTTTGGTCATGTTATTTTTTGGAGCTTGAGAGTAAAGAGATTTGATTCCTCATGCCTTTGTTTTTTCTTGTTATTACGCTGGTTTTAACACTTGTTTTTGGTCATGATAATATTATCTCAGCAGTCGATCCATCTAACCAGCTTTCCTGGATAATTGACAAATTTCTCCACAAGTGACTGACTACAAATAAAATGTCCTTTCTAAATCAGAGGTGAGACAAGAATTATCGAAGATTTTCCAAGATTAATTGTCACAGAGAAATGACACCTCGCCTGCGGTTCAAACCAGCAACCCCTTGTTGACTAATCCGATACTCTCCCTAATGAGCTAAGTGAGCAGACATTAGATTCTTCAACATGAACAGGTGTAAAGCATCAAAACATGGAACCTCTGCTTAAATAAAGTCTCCAACAAAACTTATCAATTAAGCCATTATACAATATAGCAACTTAAAAATATGTGACAGACTGACCTGTATTGTTTATAAATAGGACTGGCCTGGTCTTGTTTTCTCCATTCAAGAATATACGTGTTCCCTTTATATTGTTCTGGCAACTTGGCACATTCTAAAATCTGACGACCTCCAACACGAACCAGCTTCTGATCTGAAATTATTTTTGTAAGTTATGTTTCATTAGTAAATGTTGGAAACTAAGTCAACAATTTGGGCAACTCTGAACAAACTCTGCATCATAAGGTCTCACATTAAGACAAATAAAATGAGAGCTACTGATCGATTCCTGTAAAGTTTCATTGAAATTGCATAAGTGGTATAAGAGAAATAGTCTGGACAATCTTTAAAAATAGAAAACATTAAAGAGCCATAACTCTGACAAAAATCATTGAAAATGTTGAAGGTATGCACAACTAGACTTGGTACTTCCTGTAAAGTTTGGATGAAATTGCGCCAGTAGTTTTAGCGAAGTAGTCCGGACAAGTTTTGTGACGGACGGACAGACGAAGGAGAAGTGATCCCTATTATGTAACCACTACTCTGTAGAGGCGACAAATAATTCATCATATCAAGATAGTAAAATGCTATTGTAAACAGTAAAAAAAATGTTGGCAAAGAAATTTAAAAAGCATGAATCTAAATCTAAAGAAGTATTTTAATAAAATTTATAAATAGTAAAACTACCTTGTAACTATGTTGTCTTAAAACTGATTCTTGAAAAAGTTAGAGTGACTTACAATGGCATAGAATGTCTTATTGTGATTCGTGAAAAATGCATTAACAAAATAAAATGTTTCAGAACAAAATATAATGCTGCTACTTTAAGTAAGGTTTAAACTGTGTTTAGCAATGATTTCCTGAATGCACCATTTGCTTTAGCATGTTTCTTTCATACAAGTATTTCAGTAGTATTGCTATAACCTATAGGCAGTACATTTATATAGCTTTATAAGCAGAAACTTTATAAATGTCTAATATTGAGGACAGTCTTAGAATTTTTCATTCTAAACAACAATTTATTACAACTCATCAAACATAAATTTATGTTATATCTTTGATAAAATTCCCAGATATAATTCTGACATTTATGACCACAACATAGTTATCTAACATGCCTGTTTTGCTGCCACTTCTCCCTTGATTAATGATTTACTCAGAATTTAGGAGCAAAAATTTAGAGGGAATTAAGGTACAAATTATTTAGTTCACAGAATAAATCTTGCAGGTACAGTAAAGACTGTCTTAGCGACCCCCTGTATATAGCGACGTTCTGTCTTTAGTGACCATAGTTAGGTGCGCCGAACAGTATTTACTATAAAAATGGTTTGTATGTAGCGACTCCCTGTCTAGTCCGTACAACGACCATGATTTAGTCACCCGTTACGGTATTTGAGCCGTGAACAGCGACTTTTGCAGGGGGAGCAAGGCGACTTTGGCGAAGAAGTCGCCTTCGGATCAGCGACTTTGCCTAAAACAAACTTCAAAGAGATTTTGAAGTCGCCCGATTTTTATAATTTTCCGTCATATTTATTTACGCCGCTAGGTCTGTTAATAATTTGTTTACCTCTCAATTACAACCAATTACCGTTAATCCGCTAAATAAGAACGCGTGTCAACATCAACAAAGTTCAATACACGCCGCAAGGCAAGAGTTCACTATGTTTATCTTTCTCATTACGTATTCATGCGATTGACGAATCAGAACGCGCGTTGTATCTACGGCAGTTTGCATTGACCAATGGGCGACACGCTAATACACTGTGGCTGTTTGTTGACAATTACACAAAATGGCGACAGATTCAATCAATTTTCGCCGATAGAATAATTAAAGACAACAGCATATACATAATTGCTGCGGTGTTTTGGCGAGTAAAGCTAAACAATGCCAAACGTCTTAAAGGTGTGGTTATGTTTGAAACCTCGATTGTTTTTTTCGGAGCACTTATCTGTAGAAATTATGTGAAGATTTGTATCTAATGTTTTATTAATACATTGAACTCCGTAAAGTAAACAGGCTGATTATACAAAATTAAATGTCTCTACAGTAACATCTCATTAGTAAAATTGAAATAAACATTTTTTTACAAACAGATTTATCAATATAAATTACATTTTAATGAATATGTAACTTTTAAATACTAATTTTATGGTGTAGTTTATAATCTTAACCAATTATACATGCAATTTTAATACTCCCTGGTTTTTTATAAATGATATTTGATATGTTTAATATCAATAAAAATATAATTAAACCCTTAGTATGGTACTATCCTGCTTTTCAACAAAATATTGGTATGATATGTTCATATATCCGAATTATGTAGAGACTGTCCACAGTGACTCCCTGTCTATAATGACCTTTTTTCTTTTCTCCCATCGAAGGTCACTGTAAACAGTCTTTACTGTACTTGGAAAACTCATTACTCGTATGATGTTCACAATGATAATTTCTAACAAACCATCTCAAAGAATGTCACAAATAGTTTTTCTTTTTCCTTAAGCTTTGAATTTTAGGTTTGAAAATATTTTTGAAATCTCCAAAATGGAAATTAGTGATCTATATTATAAATATATCAGACTGAAAGCATATTATAAACAAGGAACATAATGTAGATTTATCTCTTGTCTGTCAATAAACTCCATTCTATAACCATCATTCTGTTCTCTTAATTCATCTTTTTGCAGTTATTATAAGTTTATATTTAGTATGTCTATACTAAATATCTCCAATGGACTTGCTCAACAAAACCGTTTATTGTCTTTTTGGGACAGTTTCAAAATAATTATGTAGTAACTTAAAAGAGAACATTGCAAACCACTATCAGACAGCATGGGACATCTTGGGTGTGCACTGCTTCAATGGGTACAGTAAGCTGTTGCCAACAGGTTTAGTGTAAATATGTCAAACAAAAAATAATCTTTGATATTATTATAAAAATGAACATTGTTACTTCAGATACTAGTTTTAGATTGTTTTCAAATATTCTCATAATACAACTTAACATTCTGAAATACTGTCTGCTTTTGATTTATCATTGAATGACTCATCTTTCCTCTTAGAACATTAATCAAAGAGCTAATTTATATAATTACGCAATTATGTAATAAAACTAAAATTAATTAATTTAATCAGTTTCGTGTTCTGCTAATTCTTTTTCTAACAAACAGTTAAAAATAAACCCAAAAATCATGCTTACAGGATTAAATCTTTGCTGTTATTGCATAAAACATTTATTGCATTAAAACATTTTTTCCTCTTAGATTAATCAGCACATGATAAAGATAAGCTTTTTCTAAGCATCAAAGTTGATTAAAAAACATGATTAAAATATTAGTAATCGTCTAAGTACAAGAAAGATAAATCTGAATTTATGTATGAACCCAAACTCTGCAGTCAGTTTGTCTTGTTTCCTTCCCTTTATAGAATTTCTTTTTGGTTAAAATAAAGAGTCTTTAATGTGGGAAAATCAATTAATGACATCTTTTAACTCTGCTAAATCACCTGCTAAATCACATTAATTTTGAAAAACTTTAAGTAAACAAGAACAGGTTGAACAGGCTGATGCTCCCCGAATAGGTTTTGGACACAGAAAGTATACCTCTTGTAGTGTCAGAGTTAATTGTCACAAAGTTCAAAGTGTTAAAATGAACAAAGTGCAATAACTCAAAAATCAAGCAAGGCAGAGTTAAGGATCTTTTGCAATGCTCATCTACTTAATAAGATCAATCTACCTACAAAGTTTCATGTTGATACCTCTTATTGTTTCAAAGTTATGTCCCAGAAGACGGACATATTGAAATAAGGGGCCATTTGTATTTTGAGGGCCAATGGCCCCTTACTCTATTATGTTACAGAATGAACTCTATTGTTCTTTTCTGTTCTGTTTATTGTTCTGTTTACAGTTAGATGGCCCTCTAACCCTATTAGGTAGTGCAGACGTACGGAGGGATGGACAAAGCTGCGACTATGCATTATGCTCACCCTTCGGGGTGCACATTTATGCACTTGGATTCATTTCTTTCTCTTTTGCTTACATAATTACATATATAATTTTTGACTAAGTTCGTGACAATAAATTACTGAGGTAAAAATAATCAAAGGAACTTAAATGGTAGGGTTGATAAGTGAAAAAAACTGAAATAAACATCTATACCTTAGCAAGTAATCTTCTGGAGCTTTAACAATTTCTTTTATGTTTATAACATGTAACATATATGAACTTATAACACAGACAAAACAAGAATGGCAGAATTAATTCATTTATTTCTTGGTTGTTTAGAGACTAACCAAGCATGCTGATTTACAGCAAAACTTTCACATTTCTTCATGTTATTTTTTTGTTACATCTGGTGCAAGATCAAAGTATCTCCTAGATCAACCTACACAATTATATCATACATTTTGTTGTACACTCCCTAATAAATGTGCAATATGATTATATATTTATTAAACAATTAGTAACATCTGGACTGCCTATAACTGTGTAGCAAGGTGAGCATTTGAAAGTAAATCTTACTTGTGGTGAAATAATGTTGTTGTTTTATTTTTTTAATTGAATATTGATTTATATCACTCATTGCAAAGCAGTGATTGTTTAACTAAATCTGATTAAAATCAGCTCCTAAATAACGTTACGCATCTGACGTCCACCCATAGGCAGTCACCTTCTTGTGGTCTTTAAAACAACCAATCATTGGCAAGCTTTAATTATTTTGAAAGCAACGCGGTTTCTAATTTAAACTTTTGAAAACCAATACTGAGTAGGTTATTTTCAGGATTTCGAGAACAAACATGGCATTGTTCATATAGCCGATAGGAAAACTGGCAAAGCAATCTTGCCCATTAAAAAAATTGACTAATATTCAAGTTAATCTGTTAAAAATTACTTTAAAAAATTTTTTTTCTAACAAAATCCGCAATTTGTTTAACTTTCACAGATAACGGTTTTTTGCTACTTCTTCTAATGCCTATCTGTTAAAACCAGTTTGATTGCAAGGCTTAAAATAGCTTTCTCAGGAAATCTGAATTATAAAGAAAGCTAAACATATACCATGGTCATCATATCTACATGAAAGACAATAAGTAGATCTTAACTTAAGTCAGATTGTTGGATAACATAAGCTTGTGATTGTGACAATGGCATTTAATAT